GCGCCAGCTTATGGATGGTAGCACGGCAGACATGCTGGCTACCCGTTGATCGTTTATCGGCGGAAAGTGTTTGTCGGGCATTTATTGTAATATTTAGCTCTAACAAGGGAATCAGCAGGCTGACCAGCCATCGAGTCACCTTCGCGTTCGTGTTTATTATTGTGTCGCTTGAAGTACATAAGCGCGAGATCGCCGTCTTGTAACCTATTATTGACGATTAAAGGATTAGTCCTTTAATCCGCTGTTGTGTTTATTCGCCGCTGTATCATTCCTCATCCCGATTTCGAATCTATGCGTTTAATGTGTTTATGCTCGACGCGTTATTCAGTCGTGGGAATGTCTTTTGCTTCCCGAATCCTCGAATAAATAATTTGTGCGGACGGTCGCGAGCAACCCAGACGGGCACGGCCGAAATCTACCGTTACAAACTACAAAATCTTTACAAGAAAACAAATTATGTAATTTTTCTATTCTACAGATTGTTTAGAATTATAAGTACAGAAATATCTCGAATCTTTTATTTTGCATTTATGTTCCATAGTATAATCTCCTATGGCATAAAGAGGAGCATATTCCGGAAGAATTAAAAAAATCCAAACACTATAGACCAGATTATTCAAAATAGTTTATAAAAATCATTTTGTAACAGATAAATATCCGCTAACATTTATCAAACATTTTTTTTGGAGTAACTATTATACCACTATGAGGAACTTTCACAAATATATGAGAATAAAGATAAGAGAACTAGACATAATAGTCTACAAATACTAAAAAGATTCAGAAATATAAGTATCAAAAATAACAAAAAAAAGCAGAAAAATTATTATTATTTTTATCCAGAGTACATATACATAATTACATAGAAATATCGTATATATACATTATAAAATTTCTTACAAAATTTGCAATCCAGGAGAGGAAAATTTCCTGTTCGCCAGTATGGATGCACTTATTACTAACTTAAAACTAATATGGTAGTTTAGATACATTTTTTATTAAATGATTATACTTTTTTAGTATTCTTTTTCACCAGAATCTAATAAGTCTTGATCTAGTTGTGTTATAATCTTCTATTATGGCATTGCGGGCCATAATATGTTTTATTTTTTCACTGTAGTTGAATCTTGTTGGGAAAGTGCACATGCTGTTCTGTAGTAGGAGAAAATTTTCTGATGTTGCTTTAAAGAGATGCATTGGCAGGTTGAGGTGAATACGATATCTTCAAATACTATGAGTTCTATGTGTTTCGGTTCAAGTTCGAGTGAGTAAACAGAGTTTACAAAAGTTTGCTTACCTTGTAAACCTCTATCAAAATAGAGTAGGGTTTTATTATTTCCTATGTAATTGATATCCCCGTAAGTCCTATAGCAATTTAGTTGTTGATTTTGATTACTAGGGGCTGATGCTGGTTTATTTGAAATTATTTTATTACTATTATCTTTAGTTATTTTGTCTATTATGTCAAAAACAGTTTCAATTGGTTTGTATTTTATTTTGTCTTTTGCTATTGTAGATTCAGATTTTAAATGAAAAGCTTTTACAAATTTTATTGGTATAAAGCCCTTGTGAAAGGTCGTATTAAAGTCGTCTTTTTTCTGTTTATGTGAGTCTGAATGTTGTTTATAGTAATCTTGGAATTCATTTGCCATTTTAATGATTGTGCTGAAGTTTTCAGTGGATGTACATTGTATTTTATGATAATTAAAGTTTGTTAATCTATTGTGGGATCTATTGTAATATAAGTTACATTTGTCTTGTGAACATATATAGGTCCTAACATCTAGTAGTGTTCTGTATTGAAAATTTGTATCCTCATAGACTTCCGATGTCGGATACATTTTTTCTTTGTAATTAAAATCAATAAATTATAATCAATAAAATAGATAAATGAAAACCACTAACTGTGTATGTATAATGAAAAATCAATAGACGAAAAATTTAAATGCAATTAAAACAAATAGCAGATAAAATACAGAGTGAACCATTGTAAAAGATGCACCCAGATTACTTCGGCCAGGTGAACTTTCTCAAAAATTTTACAAACAGAAGTTGTCTGGCTTTGAAAGCGACATATTTTGATAACCTTGCCTTTAACCTTGCAGGTCATGTTCAAAGACATTTCAAGGTCAACTCTGTTTTTTAAATGGAGACCCCTAGTTTTTACTTTGGATTTTGGTGGAGCAGAAAATTCTACGTTCAAATAAGATAACATAGTCGACTCTCAAGGTCATCTAGAGATCAGTTTAATTTTTTTATTCTTTCCATCTGAATACTCGGGAAAGTGGAAGGTTACGCGAAAAATGTTTAAGACCAAGTTTATGTAACTTTGAATATGTTCCTATGACCTTCCCTGTTGACCTTGAAGGGTATGTTAAGGTCACTTCTGTTTTTTAAGTAGAAATCGCTATTTTAGGATACAGATTCAGAAAGAGCGGGAAATTCTACATTAAAATGACGTATTATGTGTGTGGTCCGTTTATTCCTCAAAGACTACGCGAAGGGCAATCTTTTCACAAAATTAATCCCACGCAAGGGAAAATGGATAATGACCCGGATTCAACGATTCAATTTTATGATTAGTTTTGAAATTCGGAATATGTTGGGATGATACGATCACATCGCCTGAATAATGATGAAAAAACTTTTAGAAAAAATTATCTTGACCTAGAAAGACATGTGTTGATAATCTTGAACTTACTCTCAAAGTAATTTTTCGAGGTTATAACAAATGTCGTACGGCTAATTTGTGTGGAAAAACTAAGTTTTAATAATCATTAATGGTTAAATACTCGTGGGAATGAAACTAATAATAAAGTTACTAATAGAACAAGTTTTATTTAAAATATTTATGTAATAATTTTTCTTTCTAAAGCGTTAATTTCAATTGGTTATTCATTTCAGATATTGGCAAATCTTTCAAAAAATCATTTTTGAAGCACCGATAAATTACAAAATTAATAACATATTTTATATTTCGATTATTTTCTTGCTCTTCTTTTTACAACAAATGATATGATATAGTGATCTATTTCAAAGTCTGTTTTACACATCTTATTGTAACATCTATTGCCTACACGTGATATTAATGGTTAAGTAAATTTATCTAAAAAATATCAGAATATACTCTTAATAAAATAGTTGATATTCTTTTGGTGCTCAGTGAATGTCATCATAACTATCGTGCAACAGCAAGATCGTATCAAAAACGGTTCCCAAATAGACATTAACACAGTGATGAGACTCGAATAAGGCATTCAAAAGTATTATTTTTCAAAGTTGTGATGAATTTAGGTCAATTTTATAACCACGATCGTTTCTAGTACGCTGCTGCAGTATAAACTATTAAAGTCATTGCACGAGTATTGCTTCCATTCCTTTATTTCGCTTAGCAATTCTAACGTCCTATTCTATCAGTGTAAGTTCCTTACGATACGTCATCTTATCAATGCATTCAGTTAGCTTCAGTTAATTTTTCGCATCCCTAGCGCGTTATCAGCATGATAAAATTTTAGATCGAATAATACGATTTCCGTTAGTAAGTAAAATAATAATTTTTTAATGATTATTAATTTAATCAACTTTTAATACTATCACATTATTCGTTAGTTTAGTCCCAAATATGAATTAGTTATATTACTTAGTTAATTAATTATTGCAAAGGTTATCGATTATAAATATCGATTCGTTCGCAATTCGGCGGCACTCGAGGTGCGAAAACTAACGATTAGGAGAGAGAGGGCGCGCGCGAGGGTTTTAAATAGAATAAGCGCGTGAATAGTATGATCTGAACCATCAGCTGGTGCAGCCGTGCGCCAGAAAACGATTTCTTTGCTGTGAGTGAAAGTACCGGTTAAAACCAGAAAGGTGAGCTGCATAAAGGTGCTGACAGCGAAGGCATCACCGGTAATAAGGTAGAGAAGGTATCCTGCAGAATGAAACGTACTGTTTAGCGGCGGCAACCGCACTGGGCGACCTGATCGTGATGACAACTGCAGCAGCAACATCAAGAAAGGCCAGGAGTACCCAGTAATTTAAATCTGCACGCTCGGTTACAGCTGATCACTGTAATCGCAACACAGGTTAAGTGCACCTATCATTAGCCGCGTCAGTCGTAAAAAGTACCGCGCGATAATTTACTGCATGTTTCTAATAACCTTTTACATAGTCGCGCCAAGCGTTAGTCCGTGTAATAGTTTACTTTCTCTTTCTCTCTCTCTCTCTCTCTCTCTCTCTCTCTCTCTCTAACCCCGGAAAACATTGTAAGCCTATACGTGAGCGTAAGTCTTTCAGCCCGCATAAAGACTGTGTAGCTTAATTTAAATAAAAGTATTTAGATTAATTCGCCGTTTTACGTTATTTCGTTCTCTTTTCAACAGTAAACCCATTTCCCAGAAATATTTGAACCAATTTTGTCTAACGGATTGTGGGAGGTAAATAATAGCCTCTTCACACAATACGAGAGACAAGAATCACCAGTTAGGTGACTTAAGGTGAGTTCAACTTAAGGAGATACGGGAAGTTGAAACGAAGTGATAATCATAAATGTGAATACATGTACACATATACGTACTTAACAGGGCGGCGGTTAGCTCTGCATCGAGGAATTTTGCACTCTGATATTCCCTGTTTGCACGACATATCCCCACCCCTGTTACACTATATTAATTAACTAATTTATTATATTAATTATCATATTTCATTGTTAACTCAGTAGGTCACTTAAAGTAAATGCGATGGTATCGCTCGGGTCTAGTAACCGGTTTTGTAAAGTCACTTCACCTCCATTTTTTCCCTTCTCTAACATGGAAGCTATTTCGGCTAAGCAGCAGCGTTGTGATGTTACAACAATCGTTTCGCATTTCCAGCATCGTAATTAAGAATGAGTTGGCTATATATAGTTATATTCTCCATATACACATATATAAATGTATATATGTGTGCATATGGATACACACATATATACATTCCTCATTTTACAGATAGTTAAAAAAACTCACCCATTAAAGCTAATATTTTTCCAATTAAATCATATGTTGATGCAACAGCTTCATGTGATTGGTTTAAAAACTTTTTTCTAATATCAAGACATCGCTTTGCTTTCTCCAAAGCTTGTTCAAATTGTCTTTCCTCTAAGTCAATTTTTGCTTTATTATGTAAATTTTTTGATTCTTCCAATTCATATATAAGGTTTGTCTTTAGATAAATTGTTGTTTGACAGTCTAAACAGTGTGCAGATGAGTTATTAATCAATTCAAGCGGTCCCATACAATCTTCACAACTCAGTGTTTGAAATTTATACTGAAAATATGTATCATGAAATATTTTAATTTAAGTGCATAAGAAATTGTCAAATTTTTTAATAAATTAAATAATTTATTAAGATTAATTATTTACCAAAAAGTTATTCAATGGACGTAGGGTACAAGCATCACATTCACACTTGAAACAATATTGACTTTGTAACGCTACTTGTCTATCTTTTGTATACATTCGCCTGTAATGAGGTCCTAAAATATAACGAATTATGTTTATAGTTACAACTTTTCGATAAATTTAAGTTTAAAGAGGATTTTACCGTAACAATTAAAAATTTCACTACCAATAGGAATGTCTTTTATAGCTTTCACAATAAGATATTTATCTTTAAAACTGTAAAAAAATATTTGAATTGAAACGTATAACAATTAAAGAAGAATATTTAAGGTACTAATGCTTTTAGAAAAAGATAATTGGTAAAATACCTATTTATAATATTTGGATCACAAGAGTGGTTCATCATACTTGCTGATGGATAAATAGCTGTAGCAAGTCTACACTGATATTCGGTAATACAATTTCCATTTTCATTATTAGCCAATTGTAGTTTTGTTATAGCATGGCCATTACATATAAGCTGCAACATATGCCGTAAAATAATTCCACTTATATAAACCAAAGTTAAGTGTTTTGACCAATCTTCGGGGAGAAGTTCTAATAATGTATGCATGTTAAGTTTTGAGTCATCAAATTTTGCAAATAAAACTTCATAAATATTCATCACTTCGAAGAAATTTGTAAAATCATGTAAATATAAAGTCATCATCAATGCCGTCTAAAAGGTATAAGACATTTATTAATTATTATTGCATCTATTATTTTCATTTAATCACTACATATAAATAAATTTTATTACGTACTATTCCGTAAATAAACATATCTTGAGTTGATATTTCATTTATGTTTGTAACCAAGCGTTGAATATTATTAAACATAATTTTATCTTCTGTGTAGCAACATGTTAAGAAGGTTCTGATAGTCAAATGTGCTATTCCAATTTTATTCCAAATATCTATTTGATTCCCAAAACATTCCCATTGATGATGGGTTAACCAAGCATCTATTCTGCACTTTTCAGTACAATAAATTGTATTTGCACAAAATTTGCAACTATTATTATGAAAGATTTAAAATTATTATAACAAATATGATTGGCGTTTATGATCAATTACATATAGACTCAACCAGTTCAAAATTCATGATTTTAATTATTTAAAAATTTGGAGGTATTATTCGACACTAAAGAGTGAAGCTGGATTGTTACATTGTATAATCATCGGAATTCTTTTGATATCAGTGTGATTCCCTCCATACTATGTATACATTCAGTAGTTACAACTATTAATTAGAGAAAAGTGAAATAGTAAAAGAAGTTTAATATCGTTTAATCATGATCTCCTCAGGCTAGTCAATAATAATTACAGTAAATAGACTAGAGAATATTTCTCATAGCCAGTTGAACTAACAAGTCAAATTCTTCATTATACATTAATTAATGTTTTTCCATCAACAATTACACAGGTATCAAATAATAGGTCATTTTCTGTGTCACAAGCCAGCTATGGTATTTCCAAAGAATTTTGATGCGCCGATTCGAAATCTGGCCTCAGAATTGTTCCATCACGTCAGGTTTTTGAGATATCCTAACCTACAAGTGCAAAAAGCAGTGACTATTCTTTGACATATTTGAAATTACGTAGCATCATAAATAAATATTATCGCAGAAATCTTATACAAATGTTTCTCTTCAAAATCCCGTTAAGTTTGCCTAAATATCTTTTTTTTTCGCCAAGATATCGCATTTTGAAATTTTCATATTTATGAATTTCTCAAAATTCGAAAATCCATTAACCCATTAAGTCCTAAGTAGACAATTTTCTTTTACTCTCTTCAATTGATCTTTTATCAGGAATAAAAATCAGGAATAAATATTTCTAACGTAAAATTGTCTGAACTTTCGATCTAAGCTGTTAGAATTTTGAAAAAATGTGTGCGTGTGTATATGAGTGCGTGTACATTGACTTCGGCGATCCCAAAAACCCCCGAGTAACAATGTTTGAGTAAATTCACTGAACAAAAAAATTCGTACAGCGAAGGGTTAATGGATTTTCGAATTTTGAGAAATTCATAAATATAAAAATTTCAAAATGCGATATCTCGGTGAAAAAAAAAGATATCTAGGCAAACTCAACTGTATATAAAAAAGGATGATTTGTACTTTAAGATGCTTTAAATCGTTTTTAATGAAAACGTTTATTTACGATGCCACGTAACCACAAATATGTAAAAAAAACAGTTTTTTTTACACTTTTAGGGTTAGGATATCTTAAAAATCTAACGTGATGAAACAATGCTGAGGCCAAATTTGGATTCACTGTGTAACGGTCCTATCTATGAGCTAGTTTATTATTTCACTGAATCACTGCAACCCGTCAAACGCATCTATCTGTTTACACAAATTAGCATCTTAAACGGCGCCACCTCACCGATTATTCGATTGTCTTAGTACAAGAGTCTAATTTCATAACCAAATAAGGAGCGTGTCGTCACAAAGTAATAGATATAGATATAATGATTTTTGTTATTTGAGAAAAATATGTTAATTAGATGTAATTTTGATATAACAAAGTATTTTTTATATAGATTTTAGTACGTAAATTTAGAATATAGTAATACGAATTGCGTTTAATTATTAAATAATAAGGAATTTTAAAATGCAAAGTTAACTTATTTATTACACTATAAATATGAATTATTAGAAAAATGTAAATAGTCCATATTTAAAATGAATATCTAAAGAACATGAGTAAGAATTGGTTTCATTAGTAACAGCTTAATAATAACTGTTATTAATAAATAAATAATTAATAATTAATTTAAACAATAAGTTGTATATAGAACGAAAGCGTTAATTTTATACGTAATAACGATAGCTTTGTAATTTATAAATCTTAGATAATTAATCTAGTATTTGCGTTTTACAATTATAAAAAAAACCGTTACAAATATAAAAATTTGTTATAATTCAAATGTTATTAATTTGAATATTTCTTTTTAGAAATTACTTCTAAAATTAATAAACGATAAATTGTTAATTTTTTCCACTCCTGATGTTTGATAATTATATTAGTAATCTTGATCTTAGGAGTCGTCCCTATAAATAAACTAATTTATTGCCACCTCAGTACATCTGTTGAATATATATATTATTATAAATAAATGAATTCTTTCAATATTAATATTGTATTATAATATAAACATACGTTTTGTAATGTAGATAAAATTGAATAAATTAAGAGTTCTTCCGCACATACATGGTCTGTTATGAACATTACACTTTTAATTAAATAAATATTAATTTTTCTGTCTAATAATAAATATAAAAATAGAATAACAATCTTTTGTCAGTTAGGTAAAAATATAGTTTGTCAATTGGGTAAAAACACATCATGATCAGCAAATTAAAAGCTAAGTAACTGTTATGTATATAATGACATATCGTACTGTATATGAAATAAAAGAGAAAGACAGCGAGAGACACAACAAGAGAAAAAGTGTACTTGACGAGTGGGGGAAACACTGGAAGGAAAGGGAATTAGTGATGTATTGTAATAACTATGTTTATTTTTCGTACTGAAACTAAGTAGATTTTATGATGTTGAGTATTCTTGAGTATTGATTGTTTAAATATTTTGTGTCTTCCTGTGAATTGATGGTATTATCCGTAATTTTAATATACACCGACTCTGCGATGCATCTCTTTCTGTAATCAGCTTCTAAATGCATGATTTTTGCATTCTCCCAATCAAATTCATGTTCTGGATTATTCACGATATGGGCCGGTATAGGTAAAAGTTTAAATCTAGAGTTTACTGGATCTTCAATAGTTTTTTTCACGGAATATTTATGTTCACTAATTCTATTTTTGAGAGCTCTTTTGCTTTCACCGATGTAATTCGATGGACATTGTTTACACTGAATATTATAAATTGTGCCTGTTTTTTCCCATTTCTTTAATTTATCTTTGCCTAGACCAATAATATTAGATAGCTTGCTTGTCATTTTTGGTACACATACAATGTTACTCTTCTTTAATGATGATTTGCATTTATAGAAAAATTTATAGTCTATGGATTCTTAAAGAATCCTTAAAGACTTGCCTAGATCACACATAAAAAATAGTTATGAATTGAAAGAACGTATCAAAAACATTCACATCCCATCGGACCACATATTGGTGTCTTTCGACGTAGTTTCATTATTTACAAGTATACCTAGATATTTGATTCTTAATAGCATATACAAGAGGTTCCAAAAATTACATAGAAAATCGTTGATGATGTTTGACGAAATCATAACAACTATCAATTTTCTTTTCAACAATGCATATTTTTGTTTCAATAATACAAATTATAAGCAGATATTTGGAACTACGATGGGAGACCCACTATCAGCATTATTTGCAGACCTAGTCATGGATGATTTGGAGACACAATGCTTGGTTTTTCTGAAAGAAGAATATAATATTAATCCAATTTTTTATTACCGATATGTGGATGACACATTAATGTGCATCAGAAACATTGACTTTGATCGTGTTTTCGAAGTATTTAATGATTATAATTCACATTTGAAATTTACTTATGAGACAGAGGTTAATGGTTCTATTAATTTTCTAGACTTATCAATTACTAGAAAAAATAATGGGATTATTACTAACTGGTACCAAAAACCAACTATGTCGGGACGTATTTTAAATTACAACTCAAATCACACACTAAAACAAAAAAAGAATATTGTTAATAACTTGATAGATAGATCGATATTGTTGTCTGATGAAAGTCACCATGACAATAATATATCTATTATAAGAAACATGTTATATAACAATGACTATCCGGAGGAATTTGTTGATGTGTGCATCAGAGATCGCATTAGAAAATATACATATAGTCATAACAATACACGGAATAAAAACAATAACGATAAACCGACAATTTACTTTCCAATTCCATTTAAAGAAGAATTTTTCTATAAATGCAAATCATCATTAAAGAAGAGTAACATTGTATGTGTACCAAAAATGACAAGCAAGCTATCTAATATTATTGGTCTAGGCAAAGATAAATTAAAGAAATGGGAAAAAACAGGCACAATTTATAATATTCAGTGTAAACAATGTCCATCGAATTACATCGGTGAAAGCAAAAGAGCTCTCAAAAATAGAATTAGTGAACATAAATATTCCGTGAAAAAAACTATTGAAGATCCAGTAAACTCTAGATTTAAACTTTTACCTATACCGGCCCATATCGTGAATAATCCAGAACATGAATTTGATTGGGAGAATGCAAAAATCATGCATTTAGAAGCTGATTACAGAAAGAGATGCATCACAGAGTCGGTGTATATTAAAATTACGGATAATACCATCAATTCACAGGAAGACACAAAATATTTAAACAATCAATACTCAAGAATACTCAACATCATAAAATCTACTTAGTTTCAGTACGAAAAATAAACATAGTTATTACAATACATCACTAATTCCCTTTCCTTCCAGTGTTTCCCCCACTCGTCAAGTACACTTTTTCTCTTGTTGTGTCTCTCGCTGTCTTTCTCTTTTATTTCATATACAGTACGATATGTCATTATATACATAACAGTTACTTAGCTTTTAATTTGCTGATCATGATGTGTTTTTACCCAATTGACAAACTATATTTTTACCTTACTGACAAAAGATTGTTATTCTATTTTTATATTTATTATTAGACAGAAAAATTAATATTTATTTAATTAAAAGTGTAATGTTCATAACAGACCATGTATGTGCGGAAGAACTCTTAATTTATTCAATTTTATCTACATTACAAAACGTATGTTTATATTATAATACAATATTAATATTGAAAGAATTCATTTATTTATAATAATATATATATTCAACAGATGTACTGAGGTGGCAATAAATAAAATTGCGAAACGTTTATAATAAAATAAGTGTTTAGTTTATTTATAGGGACGACTCCTAAGATCAAGATTACTAATATAATTAATAAACGATAAAGTTATGTAAAATTTAATATTGTTCTATTGTAAATATT